ACTTCCCGTTATAAGATATATATATAAAATCTTGGGGATNCTAAGAGAGTAAATCTTAAAATTTCTCATAAGAAAAAAATGTGTAGTTGTATGGTGATCAATGTTAACTACACTTATTGTGGTGACCATTTTGTAGGGAATGGGTGAAGGGGGTCAAAAAGTACAAACTTCCCGTTATAAGATATATATATATAATCTTGGGGATATAATGTATAGCATGGTGACCATAGTTAGTAATAAAGTATTGCATATTTAAATGTGGCTAAGAGAGTAAATCTTAAAATTTCTCATAAGAAAAAAATGTGTAGTTGTATGGTGATCAATGTTAACTACACTTATTGTGGTGACCATTTTGTAATGTATACAAATATAGAATCATCATGTATACCTGCAATAAATATAATGTTATCTGTCAATTATACCTCAAAAAACTAAAAAAAAAGACAAAAAGAAGTTAATTTCCCACTGTTTTCAGCTTTATTTGCAGCTGAATATTTGCAGCTTTCCAGTCCCATCTCCCACTCTCTTCTTATACTCCAGGATTTGTCATCCATGAGATCAGCAAGCCTCCTGGACAATCTTTACTGGCCCAGTGCCTAGATTAGCATTCAGTATTCCAGGCCCTCACAAGCTATTTATTAAGAGATCTAGGCCTGCACCAGATCTAGGCCTGCACCATAGCCCCTCCCAAGAGGCACCAGAACCAACATACTTGGAGGTTGGCTTCAGACCACAGATGAGCACCAGCTAATTAGCCCCACAAGTGGCATACCCAAAGGGCAGTCTCAAAAGCCCCCAGAGCCCATTGGGGAGAATCCTGCTTCTTATGGCAAGCCCCCATACAGCAACCTGTAAGCTGTGGGCATGGTCAAACCCTACAGCCAGGCAGCCTTAGGGACAATCCCACTCACTGATGTGCCAATAGCAATCAAAGCTCAAATATAATTGGAGGGCACAAGCGACCCACATAGGAGACACTTATGGAGCACCCAACACACGTGACCAGGATGACTGTGCCATCGGGCTTCACAGGGCACCTACTACATAATGCTACCTGGCAAGACTGGGAGATGTAGTAGACACGCTTAATACATAGAAATAAACACAGACAGGCAACCAAGATGAAGAAACAAAGAAATCCATCCCAAATGAAGGACAGGAGAAAACTCCAGAAAAAGAGCTAAATAAAATGGAGGCAAAGAACCTACCAGAGACAGAATTCAAAACACTGGTTATAAGGATGCTCAAGAAACTTAATGAGAACTTCAACAAAAAGATAGCAGGAAAAAAAATAAATAGAAAGAGAGAGAAGAGACATAGGAACCATAAAAAAGAAACACTCAGAAGTGAAAAATACAATAACTGAAATGAAGAATGCTCTAGAAGGAACCACCACACACTAGATGAAGCAGAGGATTAAATCAGCAATTTGGAAGACAAGATAGCAGAAAACACCCAATCAAAACAGCAAAAAGAAAAAAGAATCCAAGAAAATGAGGATACCGTAAGAGACCTCTGGGACATCAAGCATTAACAATATTCACATCATAGGGGTACCAGAAGGAGAAGAGAGAAAGCAAAGGATTGAGAATCTATTTGAAGAAATAGTGACTGAAAAGCTTCCTAATCTGGTGAAGGAATTAGACACACAAACCCAGGAAGTGTAGAGTGTCCCAAACAAGATGAACCCAAAGAGGCCCACACCAAGACACATTATAATTAAAATGCAAAGGTTAAATACAAAGAGAGAATCCTAAAGGCAGCAGAGAAAGTCAAGTAGTAACTTATAAGGCAGTCCCCATAAGATTCTCTGATGATGCTCAACAGAAACTTTGCAGACCAGAAGGAATTGGCAGGTAATATTCAAAGGCACGAAAAAACAAGGCTCTACAACCAAGATTACTCTACCCAGCAAGGCTATCATTTAAAATCAAAGGACAGGTAAAGAGCTTCCCAGACAAGAAAAAGCTAAAAGTTCATCTCCACCAAACCAGTATTACAAGAAATGTTAGATGGATTTCTTTAAGAAAAAAAAATAGATAAAAGATATGACTAATAAAATGGCAATTAACTACATATCTACCAATAATTACTTTAAATGTGAATGTATTAAATGCTCCAATCAAAAACATAGGGTGGCTGAATGGATAAGAAAACAAAATCCTTAAATATGCTGCCTATAAGAGACTCACTTCAGATTGAAAAGCACACAAAGACTGAAAGTAAAGGAATAGAAAAATTTATTTCATGAAAATGGGGAAAAAAATAACATAAAAGCTGGGGTAGCAACTCTTAAAAAAAAATAGAATTTTAAACAAAGGCTATAACAAGAGACAAAGAAGGACCCAGTACTCCCACCTCTGGGTACTTATCCAAAGAAGCACAAAATGCTACTTCGAGAGGATATGTGCATCCATATGTTCATTGCAGCATTGTTTACGATGACCAAGATGTGGAGGCTGCATAGGTGGACCTGGGGGGTATTGGGCTGAGTGGAGTGGCAGACAGAGAAATACAGATGCAATGTGATTTTGCTTATATGTGGAATCTAAAGAACAAAATAAATAAACAAAACAGAAACACACTCATAGATACAGAGAACATTCTGATGGTTGCCAATGGGAGGGGGCCTTGGGAATGGGTGTAAAACGGGAAGGGATTAAGAAGTACAAATTGGTTGTTACAAAGTAGTCATGGGGATGTAGGTTATAGCATAAGGAATATAGTTATTAATATTGCAATAAATATGTATGGTGTCAGGTGGGTACTAGATATACCAGGGTGATAGATGAGAGGGGAGTGGTGGGACAGGGTGAAAAAGGTGAAGAGATTTAGAAGTATAAATTGGTAGCTATAAAACAGTCATGGGGATGTAAAGTAAAGCACAGGGAATATAGTCAATAATATGGTAATCACCATGTATAGTGCCAGGTAGGTACTAGACTAGTCAGGGGAATCACTTCTTAAATTATATAAATGTCTAACCACTATCCTGTATACCTGACATTAATACAAAATAATATTTAATGTTAACGTAATTAAAAATTTTGAAAAGGGGGAAAAGGTGAGGGGGAATAAGAGGTTCCAATTTCCAGGTATAAAACAAATAAGTCATGGCAATTTAATATACAACATAGGGAATATAGTCAATAATACTGTGGTAGTGTGATACAGTGTCAGATGGTTGCTGGACTTATCATGGTGATCATCTCTTTATGCATATAAATGTTGAACAACTATGGTGTATACCTGAAAGTGATATAATGTTGTATATAGCTATATTTTTAAATAAAAATCTTTAAAACAAAAAGATATATGTGCCCTTATGTTCATTGTAGCATTATTCATGGTGGTCACGTCATGGAAAACAACCAAATTGTCCTTTGATAGACAATTGGATAAAGAAGATGTGGTATATATACACAATGGAATGCTACTCAGCCATAAGAAAAGATAGAATACTGCCATTTGCAACAACATGGATGGATCTTGATATTATCATGCTGAACAAAATAAGTCAGACAGAAAAAGTAGAGAATTATGTGACTTCACTCATATGTGAAATATAGAACTGAAAGCAACATACAAACAAGACAAACAAACAAAAAATCTCATAGCCACAGACAACAGTTTAGTGGTTACCAGAGGGTAAGGGGGGAGGGGTATGGCAGAAGAGGCTAAAGGGGGTCAAATATACGGTGAAGGAAGGAGAACTGACCCTGGGTGGCGAGCACAAGGCAACATATAGATGATATATTATAGAATTGTACACTTCAAACCTATATAATTTTAGTAACCAATGTCAGTTCAATAAATTTAATAAAAAACAATATATCTTATTACCTAAGCAGATCACTAAGGTTTTCTACTACTAAAATATTTGGAGTGCCTCTCAGACCAACTATTTCCACAAAACCTCACAACACTCAAAAAGATAGCCAGGTCTTGCATTAGTGTTAAGAAGTTAACAAATAATCACTTCTCTGGAGATAGTCTAAATTTGTTGTCTCTATTAATAGGGTTCTCTTTTGGTCAATGAAGATCGCATTGTTGTGTAAACAAATGTATCTGGATGTTTTGACTAAAGACATGTTTTTAAAGTGTTCCCCCCCTTTTGTTTATGTTGTCACTACTTAAATGATATGAAAAGATAGAGAGATAGTGTCTAGGATATCTCTGCCCTGCCTCCTCCACTAAAACCCAATATTTATGGTGGGAATGAGAAATGCCCTCTGTCTGCTTAAACAGCAGTGCTATGTTATTCTGTCAGGCAGAAGAATAAAGTCCTACGTTAACTAGAAAACTTTAAAAAATCATGAAAGAACCTGACCTGTTGTACGCAGTAGGGAAAATAAAAAGCTTTGTATTGTTCTTCGAATTAAATAAATACATTTAGGTTTTGTTTTTGGTTTCGTTTCATTTTGATTTTAAAACTCAGAATACTATATGATCCCTAAAGAAAAAAATAGACTAATCTCAATATCAACATGCTTAAAATTATTGACCCACACATACATTATCTTTAAACAAAGGAAGTCAGCATTACAATCTAATGACTTTCCCTTATGCTCATAGGCAGCGTTTGGCTTAGTCATTAAAAAACGGACTCCAGGAAACGATTGCTGACTTGAACCCCAGCTCTGCAAGAGACAAGTTGTAAGACCTTGACCAAATGACTCAACTTCTCTCCACCTCAGTTTACTCCCCTTTAAATAGTGCATAATGATAATATGTACCTCATATGTCATTGTGAATATTTTCAAAGATCAATTAGAGCATAGAAGTTTCAAGGACAATAGCACATACTCAATAAATGTTGGCTATTATTATATACACAACAGGCTCTGGAGGTATGTGTAACTTAGTGAGAATTATTTCAAATCTACTTTATAATGTTGAGTTATATCACTTTTCTCATAATGCACCCAAACAAATAATAATGAGTTTCTTATCTTCCCAAAAGCAAAGGCAAAACGATGAAAAGTGAGAAAGTCACTCACCGTTGAGCCAGTAGTGCTCTGAAATGTCGGTTCTGATGTAATGATGGTCTTGAGTAGGCCCGAGGGACCGCGTGAATGCAGTATCTTTGCCAAGGAAATCAGATGCTGTTCCAGCGTAGAGGTACTCATCTGGGTGGAGAAAAGAATACACAGAACTTCTAAGGGTTTACCAGCAGATACTGTTTACAATATACTAATTTCACAGCATGAAACCAAAGATGTTTATTGCTTAACACCAGAATATACTGATGTTATAATTCATAAATTTCACTTTCAGATTTTGAAAACTTTGCTTAGTTGAAGAAAAGGCAACTTAATGAACTTTGGTATGCTGATGTTAGATACTGGAATATGAAAAGGGCCAGAGGCTTCTGAATGAACAATTGCACATGCATTGGCTTCTCTTATGAATGAGTTCTTCTTTCCGTTCTCCTTACTAACAACTCAAGGATATATCATAATTAGGAGTTCCTCTTTGTAGCAACACAAAAAAATATTAAAAAGTAAATGCCATAATGAGGAATGGATTGCATAATTAGTATTTACTTAACCGACACAGCCCCAATGGCCACAACTTTTCTTTGCCTAATCTCTGCTGAAAGGGAGCTTTCAGCACTGAAGTCATTCTTTGTAATTATAACATGTTGCATTCCTTGTAGCTAGCTGTGTTCTCTAATGGTTCTGATAAACAGGAATTCCTGAAAAAGGAAAGATGTTGCCATTACAGCATTCCAAAATCCTTTGTTCTGTTATTTATGTAAAGTGCATATCCATGTTTTACCAGAGAGAGAGACAGAGACAGAGAGAGAGAGAGAGAGAGAGAGAGAGAGAGAGAGAGAGAGAGAGAGAGGGAGGCAGTAGGAAGAGGAAGAGAAAATGGCAAGAGGAAGAAAGGGGTTGAGAAGGAAAAGGTGGGTGGGAAAACAGATGGAGGAAGAGGGGAAG